TATATATATATATATATATATATATATATATATATATATATACCTACGGTTTACCGGGCAGTTCTGTTTGTGACAATATATATAGCTTCAGGGCCAGTGGTGATTTCTGCCTTGCATCTGGGCCACTGGGCGCACAAGCCGGCAGATGTTAAAGCTTGGTCAAGTTTTGTAGGCAAAGCTTGCAGATGCTGCCAAAGTGGCTCTTTCTCTGATGTAGACTCTTATCGTTATTCGTATGGTGTCACAGGCATTCCCAGACTGGGCGGTCCGGGCTTTTCTTTCCCCAGCGTATATTATATGTGCTCAAATTTATAAGACGCCCACGAAAGATAATTATTATACATTAAATAGGGACTCGCAAAAACAATTTACTTAGCAACTCTTCGGCCACAAGCGTGCTTCGTGTCGGATAAATCCATGGACATTGTAAGAGGCTGCTTTGTCTTCGACAAGTGGACCCTCCGCAGCATCGCCGGGTCAGTTTCATCAACAGTTTTCCAATTGGCAGTTGTCTAAGTATAGTTAATGAACCAGCCTGCCCATGGAGATTGCTCTGGGAAATAGAGTTTTGGCTCAATTGAACCACCAGTTTCCTAATGGCATCCATCTTAGTGAAGTTGAGGATCCATCCTAGCCTGCCTACTGCATGGAAACGGATGGCGGCGCCTGGCAGGTCCGCACACATGCCAGATTTTTTTTTTTTTTTTTTTTTTTTCTGCCGCACGATAGATATGAGCATTGGAAAAAATGCGCTCGGATGGACTGATGGTTTAAACCACGAGTACGTCGCCCAGCTATTTCCCAATGCAGCCGTTAACGTGTCGCGACCGTCAGAGGTCGGGGATTGAACAACAGTACGAAAGTGAAATGAAGAACTACAGGAAAAAAGAAAAGAGAAAGATCAATCCAATCTGTGAAATGAATAAAAGGAATGAACACCAACGTACATTCACGAGTCCGGCATGATGGGCGGGGGGGGGAAGAGGGAGAGAGAGTGAGAGGGATGAAATGTTACCACTTCGAGGAGGATGATTCAATCACAGTTTGCTGCTTTCCAATGCGCAAGAGAGAGAGAGAGAGAGAGAGAGAGAGAGAGAGAGAGAGAGAGAGAGAGAGAGATCCAAGGTAACATGCATCGAGCGCTGC